GCCCTGCCCCTACATCGGGGCGGGAGGGGGGGCTCTTGGCTCCCACAAGCAGCCCTAGGTTCACCCCCTTCCCGTGTATGGCCCACGGGCCCTTGAGGCTTTCATTCGGCCCAGGGCAGCCCAGTGCAGGCATGTGGCTGCCCTGGCTTTGCAGAGACCCTGGAAGAGCCCTGGGCAGTCCAGAGCCAGGGCCCGCCTGCAGGGAACATGCTCACTTACTTCTCTTGCCCGCCGCCACGAGGGCCACCGTGCTCACTTCCGTCTCCGGCGAGGGCTGAGCTCTGCCTTCTGTGACTGCAAAGACAAGCGTGGGCGTGGGGCACCAGGGCAGCTCCAAAACTGACTACCCGCTGGAAGGCTGGAGCTGCGGCATGGCAGGCCCCGCGGGAGGGCCAGGGCCAAAGCCACAGCATGGCAGCCCTGGCCCTCCAGATGGCCAGGAAAGATTGGCAGAAGGGGCGGGACTGGGGCTTGCCATGTCCAGCTGGTCCTTCACCCCCCACCCTCACCCGCGATGGCAGCACACACCAGGCAACCTCATGCCCACAGGATACAGGGTCTGACAGGGCTCCTGGGCACAAGGCACCCCGGATTGGTGGCGGCCCCCTTGGATACTGGGGTGGAGGGATTCTTTTTGCAAGCCAGTGCTCTGTGCCCTGAAACAGGACTCCATGAATCGCAACCACAGGCGCCTCGTTGTCTTGCCTCCCAGCCCCGGCCCTCCGCGCCAGCATGCCAAAGGCAGTCGCAGTAGAATCAGAGCCCGAGGGAAAGCAAGCACGTGGCCAGCTGTGCAGGGTACGGCCAAATTCCCGGCTCCCAGAGCTCTGGAGACATGTGCAGCCCCCGCGATCCTGCTGCTGGGCCCTCCCCGTGCTGTGGATGGAGCAAAGCCCTGCACAGCCCAGGGGCCACTCTGGACTGCACTGAATTCTTGGCAGCCCAGCCGGGAGGCAGGCCTGTCCCTTGGCGTCTCTCCTGATGACCCCAGGGCAGAAGGTGAGTTGGGAGCTTGGAAGAGGGAGTCGGAGCCCTGCTTTCCCAGGGCGGGCGGCTGGGCCAGGAAGGAGAGCGAGCTGGTTCGGATCACAGCTGTGTCCTCCACGGGATGATGTTTCAGGGTAGCGGCTCTGATCAAAGTCCCAGCCTTGGGGCTGTAGATCTTCTCATGGATCATCCATCAGGAGCAGGGCCGGATTAAGGCATGGGCTAGCCGGGCAGCTGCCCGGGGTGCCAACCTATGGGGGGGCGCCTGATGGCAGTTGAAAGGGGCGCACAGCACCCCTTACAGCTGCCATCAGGTGCCGCATGCCCAGCTCCCGCAGCGTCAGCC